GTCTGTGTGTGTGTGTGTGTTCTGAGGACTGCAGGGAGAACAGACCACACAGAACAGAGAGCTCCATCATCCAGCTGCCTCCTGGCTTTTGCAGGTGTTGCTCAGCATATGTGCACCAGATGTTACTAATAGATAACTTTGTTCTTTTCTTTTTTGTTCATTTTATGAGCAGAAATGTTGTTTTGTGTCATCCCTCAAGCACCGCTGTGTTCTCTAAAAGTGAAGATGGCCGCACTGTTCTTGTGCTGCTCAGAATCACTTCAGCAGTGACTGGTGTGTCCGTGCAGCCGGGCGTAGATAGCCACATTAGCACTGCTGTTTTTCTGCTGAAGTCTGTCAGATGTTTTTTGGGTGGAAGGGAGAATCCTGGGGCTCAGATAATCATCAGCTTTCAGACCACCGGCCTCTGCTGTGTGTCAGAGAAACCGGTTCCACAGCCAGGCAGACTGAGAGTGCCAGGTGGTCACATGTCCTGGCTCGCGTCTCAGCCGGTGTGGAATTTTTGTGCGCTCACCTGTGTGGTTATGTGTACGGGACAAAACCCCAATAAAACTGCTGTATCTCAAAGTAAAGTTGCCTATGATGTTGTAAACGGTCCAATATACTGATAAATCTTTTGTTGTGGAGTGAGCGCCACCCATAACCGTGTGACTCCGGAGAGACTTTTAACTGTCGAATGTTTCAAGTGTTTTCGTACTTTGAGCGCTGCAAAGCAAATTCCTTTGTGCTCCTCTCTGCAGCATACAGCTCTAGGCAGTATCTCCAGACTGCAGCAGATAAACACTGGTAATGTCAGGACAGAGAGACTGCCCATGGGATTTATTTATCGAGTTTCTGCTTTACATTGCGAGAGCCCTCGGGTCAGAGTTCACCGAGGTCTCCCCCTGGATAAGTAATCCGTAATAATCATCCAGCAGCCGGATGTCTAATAACCTTGTTCTACCCCGCTCCACATGTAGGTCAGATTTAATTAAAGCAAAGTAAAGAGTAAAAGGGGAAGTAGTCTGTTGTGTGGACTCCTGCCGTCAGTTCTTATTACTTCATTTCCCTGTCCTCTAACCAGTCCTCTCTGCTGTCACTTTGTTGCTGTGATTAGCACACCATGGCAGAGCAGGAACCTACACCAGAGCAGCTGGCAGCGATTGCAGCAGCCAACGAAGAGAACGAAGGCCACGTCAACTACAAACCTCCCGCCCAGAAGAGCCTACAGGAGATCCAGGAGCTGGACAAAGACGATGAGAGTCTGCGCAAGTACAAGGAAGCACTGCTGGGCGGCGCTGCTGCTGTTGTGGTTGCTGGTTAGTGATCCCTACTAAATAACAATGGTCTCATTGTCTGCTAGAATTAAAATACATGTAGTTTTCTGCCATTAACTAACCTCAGGCATAGATAAGAACACACTTACACATTTTGATTTCATTCACCAGTATAGCCATCTAATGGAACTTACTTACAAAAATCCCTCCTACTTGTTGTAAGTGATGTCCTCAAAGGTGGGATGAGCATGTATCTGTGTCCATAATATTACAGCTGCTCTATGTTTGTACAACCAATAGTGCAGGAAACAAACCTCAGTTATTTGTTGTGAAAACAATTCACTTACTCAGGGTCATACTCTTTACTTGATCAGATGTCTGAATTAGGTCATCTTTGTTTGTGTTATACTATAATTTTATTTAGGCAAAGCCTTTAGGCAGACGTTTGTTAAAGACAGCAAGTGAGTCATTGTGTTTGTAAAATTGAAAAAAACAGTTTGTAGTAATACTCAGCAAAATAACGTTTTTCAAAAGGTTTTTATATCTTCTATATTTAGAATCTTTCAACAATATCCACACTGACAGGTTAAATGACTGAACCGAACACAACACCAAGAAATTAGACCGTGTCAAAAGGATCGGTAGATGCTCAAGAAGCATAAAAATGGTTTGAATATGGAGGTTTCTTACTTTATACATATTCTGCTACCAGTATCCAGTTCCTCAAAATCAGGTCTTTGGCAATATCTGCTTTTGTGATGAAGAGTAGATTAACCAACCACTATCATTATTTCAGTATAGTTATTCTTAATGCCTGCCACCAGGTTGGATTTGGTCAGATTCCCCTTGAAACAAGGCAATGGAAACACAACCTCTTTTGTCCACAGGGCCGACCGAATCAACACAAAGTAAAAGTTCCTTGTAGCTGCTTTAAGACAAATCAGATCCCGACCCACATAGAAACATCTCAGAGCTGGGAAAGGGGTCTGGCCACTGCCTCGAGTTCAACAGAGCTGGGTTATTAATAGCAACTTTGGGCCACACATTTCCCACTGAGGTCTGTAGATAGTCTGTTTTCAGAAGGTTCAGAGTTAGAGTAGAGAAAAGTAGGTAGGTAGTGAAATGTGTGGAAAATAAGCAACAACATACTTTATTCAATGTTTGAAAGCTAAACCGTTGGCATGGTTGAGATACTTGGGTTCTCTTGATCTAATGTTGGATGCTGTGACCTTTCTCTCTGTCTTAGATCCCACCGCCCCAAACGTCGAGGTGACGCGAATGACCCTGTTGTGCGAGACGGCCCCAATCCCCTTGGTCCTTGACCTGACGGGTGAGTGGAGAAGTCACGGCGGTGTGAAACGGGTCATTTGTAGTTTACACTTGAAAGAATGCACAGAAGCCCACATTTAGGCAGCTGTCTTTCCTCACAGCAGACACACTGGAAGAATGAACTCATAGTAACATTAATTATGAACAGTAATCACTCCCATCCTTGTGTGCAAATATAGACCAACAGAGCTGCTGGGTCATTAGTCCCCTAATTAATAATGACATGATTCCTGTGTAAGTGGGTTAATGAGCCATTTCCTGATGGCACTCCTGCCCTCCCTCGGTGGTCACACGGAGCTGCAGTGGAGCAGGGGAGCTGCGGCTCACTTGAGGTACTGTGCCACCTGGTGGTCAGTGTCATCACTGCAGGCTGTCGAAACTCTAAATACAATTCCACTTGACTTTTGAGAGTGTTAATTCCTCGTTCTCTGGTAATCATTATCACTCAGCTTATATGTTTTAGACCGCATGCTGTTCCTCACTAATCTTTACTTGTCATGCTGTGCTGCCTTCCCTGCCAGGAGACTTGGAGAACTTCAAGAAGAACCCCTTTGTGCTGAAGGAAGGAGTCGAATACAGAATAAAGATCAACTTCAAGGTGAGAGTCTGGCCTTTGTCAATCCCACGATACCTCTCTGTTTGTTGTCTCAGACTGTTAGAGGCATGGAGATGTTACTACAGCTGCAGTGAGCTATCTTTGTCATGGGAAACTGTTCAGCAGGATATGATGCATTTTGCCTTTTTTTCAGGTCAACAAGGACATTGTGTCAGGCCTGAAGTACACTCAGCAGACATTCAGGAAAGGAGTAAAGGGTAAGACAATGATTTGATTTCATCTCTGCCATCCCTTAGTTGGATTTTTGACATGGAAATGAAAATTAGCACCCTCTGGCTTAAAGGGATAACGTAATTAATTAATTTGTGGTAAATATATGATATATGACTTCCTATGAGTTGAGATCAATACCATTCATGTCTGCACAGTATATATGAAGCTACAGTCAGTTAGCTTATCTTAGCTTAAAGAGTAGAAACAGGGGAAACGGTTCTGTCTGAATGTTAGAAAGGCTGCCCACTAGCACTTCCAAAGCTCAGCCATTAACAATAACTGAGCTCACCAGTTGCCGGCTGTATCTACATATTTACTGTACAGATATGAGAGTGCTATTAATCTTATCTAATTCTCTGCAAGAGTCATTTAGTGTCTTTCCCTAAATGTTGAACTAAGTTTTAAAGGTCCAGTGTGTAACATTTAGGAGGATCTGTTGGCAGAAATTAAATACAATATTTATATGTATGTCTTCATTAGTGTATATTCACCTGAATATAGGAATCTGTTTTTATCTACATTTGGTGAATTTCCCCTCACTAATACACCATTAATGAACCAGCATTTCTGCTGATGTAAAATCTGTATAAATGCACTTTGGCTGAATGTGGAATTGAGGATGTGCATGATATCTTGAAGAAGCTTTTTACAACTCCTTTCATCTCCCTCTCTCGTGTACAGTCGACAAGTCAGACTACATGGTGGGCAGCTATGGGCCAAGACCGAACGAGGAATACGAGTTCCTGACCACCCTGGAGGAGGCACCCAAAGGGATGCTGGCTCGCGGCACCTACAACATCAAGTCCAAGTTCACCGATGACGACAAACACGACCATCTCTCCTGGGAGTGGAGCCTCACTATCAAGAAAGACTGGAAAGATTGATTCCTCCTCGCCATCAACGTCTTCCTCTGCTTTGTCCCTCTTCCCTTTTCTTGCTTTCATTCCATTATTTCTGTCCTGATCCATCTCTGGATTATGTGTTGATTTAAGCTTCTGCTCTCTCCGTCCATTGACACTCGCTCTTACAGTTCCCCGTTCTCGTTCTAAATTCTTAAATCTAAATCACTTCATCATTCCTCTCATTAACCCTTCATTTGTTTGCACCCGCCCTTCTGTTAAGTATTAAATCTTTGAAATGGAGAAAGCAAACATTGTGCACAATCCAGATTTTGCGATTATGGTTTGTTTATAAAAGAAAAATAAGTAAAAAAAAAAAAAACTGTTGTCTGCTCAAAACTGCTCTTAAAAACTGAACTGTATGATTCCCTCTGCTCCTTTTCTGCTTTCTTCCCCCTTTTTCACTCTTTCTTATTAGATTCTTTTATATGATTACCATGATCTGCCTTTGAAAGCATTGTACAGGAAGCAGTAGTGCTGTATGTATGTGGCCACTCGCGGTCATAGAGCAATCATTGCTGGACACAACTCTTGGACGCAGCCCTCCTTAAGCCTTCGTGCAGATTATTTGTACCAGGGTCTCTGTAAATTATTTGGAATTCAGGCCACCTCCTTTTCAAATGGTTTAGCGCCCCACAAAGTCTGCTGAGAGAATGAGGGGGGGAAAGAATTACCTCTAAACCCGTATGACCCCCCCCCACACACACACACACACACACACACACTTTAGGTGTGGCTGTTCCTCTCCTAATCAGGGTATTTTGGCAGTGTATTTAGCAGCCATGTGGCCTTAACAAGAACCCTTGGGAAGAAATAGACAACCCAGTTGAGCCATTTGCCTTCACATTATATTTGCCAGACCATCATGTGAGCCTGTTTTAACAATACTTGTAATAGGACAGGGCATCAGGACTACGGACTTTTAACAACTTTATTTCAGGTTTGATGATTTGTGTAAAAAAAGAAAAAAAAAAAGAAAACATTACATGTTGTTGGATCGTATTATCTCTATTTCATTGCAGTACTTGTAGTTTTCTAAATATCAGTAAAATTAGGTTATTTTAGATCATTTACAACTGTGAATATGAGTCCAGGTCGTACTAACAGCTTTTTGTCAGCCAGCGTCCTCTAGTCCCTGAGGCCATATTTCCAGTGTGTCCGAGGCGTTCCCTTAGTTCCCTCACGAATCGAAACGCGCTCGCCTCGTTATCACGTTAAGTTTAAAAATTACCAATGCTGACTGTGCCTCCAGTCTCTTACAACCACATGCTGCTCCTGCTGATCAGTGAGGTGAAACGTTGTCTGTAATTGACTTTAAACCAGTACAGAGACATCAGTCCCCAACCAGACATCGATGGGTAAGACATCCTGCCATTGAAAAGTGTTTTCTTTTTTTTTATACACTCCATAAGTATGTGGATGAAGTCTGTTCTCCGCAGCTTCATTCAGCTGTCATGTGTCATGGACTGATGTTTCTCTCTGTGGGTTGGGTTTGACTCAATGTGTGCTACTTGTATTACCTACAGTTTACTGATCTCCTGTGTTCACATTAAAGTGTTCAGACTGGGCGTGCATGTGTCTGGTTGTTTTATTCAACCCAACAGAAACTACCTGGATTTTTTTCTTTCTTGCTCCCACAGCTCGTATTCAACTTGAAGGATTTGAATTGTAGCCTCCCTGAGCACTTAACAAAATAAAGGAAAATGGTCAATACATAGCTCATTTTAATTAACAGAAAACATTTTACATGGCCTATTACAGGAACAGCTTTGACAGTGTGATAGCACAGTGCAGAACTGATTGTTGTCATGTCTGAAATGATCAAACAAACCCCCTGAAACAGATCAATCCCCTGCAGCTTGTAATGCATGCTGTAAAAACACCATCTGTTCAGGTGTCATCTCCTTCACAAGATGAGTTACAATAAACCATGTAAGTAAACCAATCTCCATCAAACACTTATACACAGTAAGCTTTGGCAGCCGTCTTGAAGGATTTGTACCATCCGACAAATTCAAATTTGCACACAAACAGTCATGATAATAATAAGCTGGTCAAAACCTTGTGATTTAGTTTTTACCTGCTTTTAAAGAACAATTTAGCACTTAGTGTTTATTAGACAGATACATGCTTCAAATGCCAAGTCGTTTCAAAGCCAATGGCTGATTTTGTCCTGTTTAATATTCATTATTTTTCATAAATAAAAAATAAATGGCAATACTTAAATTAATCAATTACAAATACTACATCACACACTAGACTGTCCTTGGACAGAAACAAAACCTTCCTCTCTATTTGTCGTCACTCAGGACAAGGCATTTCATCCACATCAACGATCTTTCATCCGTGTAGTGAAGTATAACATTTGGCAGTAACATTTGGCAGCAAATGGTGCGAGTGTCCACTGCTGAGTATGCATCATTAATCACCTGACTCAACATGGCTACAGGCATCCACCCATCAGTTCACGAGTGGGCAAAAGTAAAACAAAGAAGCCTTCAAAACAGTGAGGTAAATTAAGACAAATAAATCGTGTTTAGTGAGTGTTTTCAGTGCCTGTAGTATCAGTAGCTGTTAGAATGAGCTCTGGCTCATTTGTGACTCTTCCTGCTCTTGGTGGAGTTCATGTCACTCTTGGTCTTCTGCAAGCGGGAGAAGATCTCTTTGAACAGCGCCTTGTACTCGGGCGTGTTTTGGCTGAGCCGTTTGTCCACTTGCTCCACCTGCCTGCTGAGCCCCTCCAGGGCCTCCGGGGTGGAGGGCGTTTGAGGAGGTGTTGGAGGGGTGGCAACGGCCCCTGATGTTGAAGGTCCCGCAGAGACCATGCTGTACTCTTTGATGGAGGGGTCTCTGGAGACAGGCCGTGAAGTCTGCACCCCAGCGTGGCACAGGCTCTCCTCGTGACCCCGGCACTTCCCCAGCAGCTCCTCGTACTTCTCCAGCAGGGCGTGGTACTGCTCGTCCACTTCCCGCAGGATGGACATGCCGCGTTTGCGCACGCCGTTGGCATGGAGGGCGTAGCTGCCCTGGCGCCTACCTGAGGCGTCACGGGCTGAGATGGCATTCAGAGCTGTGTCGCTGCAGCTTTTCCTCACTGGGCCTCCCTGCTGCCCCGTGCCCCCCGCCTCTCCTTCACCTCCCTCTTCCGGCCCTAAGCCCTCCTCCGGGGTGTCCGTCTCGGGGCCGTTGTTGAGCAACATCTCTAAGCCGTCTTCCATGCCCCCAATCAGACACATTCTGGACTTCCTCAGCTGCTGCATCTCCTGGAGCTCAGCCTCGAGCTCCTGAACCCGCATCTGGCAGCCCTCTGCTCCTAAGAGACGCTGCTCCAGACGCTCAAACTCCTGCAGCACGGCGGCACACTCCCGCTCAGCGCCCTCCCTCTTGGACCTCTCTGTGGCCATGGCTGCGCGCAGGGAGGAGACGATGTTTCTCAGACGCTCATTCTCCTCATCCCCTGGCCGTCTTTCAGCCAGGTCCACGCTGCCTGGGTTGGCCAGCAAGAAACCATCCTCATACCTGACAAACAGAAGTGTCACATGACTTAGTAGTTAGCTTTACACCAGCTAGCCACAACTAGCCATAGTGCAGTCAGTGTTTTTTTTTTTACCTCTGTTTTTTTAAGTTGTTTTCGCCCAAAAGTTACACATTTGATGTTAATTATGTCTATGATAAGATGTAAAAAGGGTTTTGGCTTTGCAGGGCAGTGCAGTGTGATAATTACTGCAGAATCACTTTCATCAACCTGCATGTCCTGCAGAATAACCAGTTCATCTATATTATACAAAGCTAGTAATAGCAACATACTAATCTGTGTGAACAAGATAAAAATGACAACAAGACCTGACTACAGAGTGTGGATGTGTCCTGGGAATGATTTTCTTTGTGCGGTAGAAAAACTCCTAACAGTTAGTGACCTTGGCGCAGTGCACAGCTCTTTGAGGCAGGGGAAGGAGTGGACAGTCTTGCGCCGTTCCTTCTTCTCTCTGCGGACCCTCAGCTCCTCCAGAGTTCGCAGCTCCTCCACCCGAGATGTCAGACTGTCCACCTGACTCTGCAAGGTCTCCATGGTGCCCATCAACCTGCAAACACACAAACACACACACACACAAATGTTTGTTCAGTGCTTGTTACGTCATTATTATGGTGATTTAATTGTCTCTTTGCTCAGCACACCGTTCTCGTAAAGCCACAGTGAGTCACTGTTACAAAACAAAGAATTTGAAGGAGCAGATTAAGAGAGAACAAAAGCAGCCATTGAAAACAACTTTTAGACTTCAGCCCACTAATATGATTTGTAAAGGACTGATTCCTGATTACGATTATGACATTGCTAAACAGAGCAAGAGTGTACAGTGCTATAGTTGCTCAGGTGGAGGGGATAGCCTGTAAAAACACAAAAAGTTGTAACTGCAGCAAAAATGTGGAGCGATGTAAATTACAAAACTACATTATGATAAAAGCACCAGTCTCTAGCTGCTTTATGCTTGTTTGGCTTCAAAAACGTCCCTGTAAAGACCTACGGTATGTGATGATCATCCTTGTTACAGATGTTTTTCTACAGAGTGTGGTTTCTGGTACACTGTGTCCACAACAGGAGAGCAGAGGATGGTATTCATGAAAGTCTCAGACACAGTCGTAGCTGTTGATCACCTGTCTATTTTCTGCTGTGAGGCCTTGCTCTCCAGCACCAGCTTCTCGTTGGTGATCTCCAGCTCTCTGGCAGTCACGTCCAGCTGTTCATACACCTTTGCGTGCTGCTCGTTCATCTCCCTCAACATTTCCAACTGCTTGGACAGGTACTGCAGGGGAGACAAGTTTCATATTAAGATCAGCTCATTTTGACTCGTTAGATCTTCAGTAGTTCATCTACTGCTCTGTTTCAGTGGGGTGAAACAACAATAAATCTGAATATTATTATATATCACCATGAGGAAGCTGTAACACCTGACCACCAAGTGTTGCAACAAAGAATGCGTGAAAAACATTGACAGTATATATAATAGTAGAAAGCTGATTAGTTGAAATACTTTGCTAAAAAGCTAAATGAGTAATAGCTAGTATTGAATAATAGCTTAAAGTAATGGTTGAAATAGTTACTTTAAAATAATTGATAAATGACTGAAATAGCTAAAAGTGATGGATAATTACCAATGGCTAAAAAAGTCAAAGATAAATGGAAATAGGTAAATAATTACAGTAGCAGATAAAAAAATAATAGATAAACAGTTGAAACAGTTAGATATAGGAAATGGATAAACAGTTACAATAGTTAGCTGAAAGTAAAACATAAAATAGCTAAAACTAATAGATAAATGTTTGAAATAGTTAGCATTAGTAGATAAATGGTTACAGATGCTCAAAGTCATGGATAAATGTGTGGTTAAAAGAGCTAAAAGTAACAGATAATTGGTTGCAATAGGTAAAGGTCATGGATAAAGAATTTAAATAGTTAGCTAAAAGTTATGGTACATTTTTAAAATAGCTTAAAGTAATGGATAAACAGATGAAACAGCTCAGAGATGGTTTAAATGGCAAACTCGACCTAAAACCAATCATTGACAGTTCAGTTGTACGCAAAATATATTGTGCAAAATATCCTTTTATTAATAGTTGGAACATCCAGCTTGAAAGACATTTAAAGGTCCAGTGTGTAACATTTACGAAGATCTAGTGGTAGAAATGGAATATAATATTCATAGGTATGTTTTCATTAGTGTATAATCACTTGGATATAGGGATCAGTACGTGTTTGTTAACCTAGAATGAGCCGTTTTTATCTACAGATGCTGTGGGTCGCCTTTCACAGAGGACGCCATGTTGAACCGCCATGTTT